GGGCAACAACGAAGACCTCGGAACACGTGTCGCAGTGCTCGACTTCGCGGATTAACGAAAGCGGAGTACGACAACACTCGCAGAAATCTTGGGACCCAGTGAATCCGAATTGAAATGAATGAGTTAATTCCAAGCGGTAAGAGAGGGTGCCCTCGGGTATTAATTCCTTACAACGATAGCAGAGAAACTCGGCGCTATTAGGATAATCGTCGGCAACTGAATTATTTACGCGGCGATAACCGAAAGAAGTAATGCAGCGCACTGAACCGATGCGATGTTGGAATACGGTGGCTGGATGCGTGCGCGAACCGCGGGTGGTATCAGACCGAGGGAAACACATCACACTAATTAATTAATAGTATCCGCGAAGGTAAAACGCGTCCATGCGTGTCGTTGAATAATATTATGAAATATTATCGGAGCTAGAAAATTTGAAACAAGCATTTAAGAGTGCATTTCCCGAGTGAAGTCGTCGGACGAGGCAAAAACTATGCCCAAAAAAACAAAGGGGTCGATCATAAATCCTTCTGGTCAGGCATTCCCTTTGTAGAAGCGATCATTGAACTTGCACGTTCGGCTGACGCAACAGGAAAAATATCGCGAGAAGTATATCTTATAATAATTTATTTAACAATTTAGCTACTGTTACGTCAAGACCGCGGGGACCCCTCTGATAATCTCAGCGGCAAATTATTGAAAACGCTCTCGAGGGATTTCAGCAAATTACACGGCTGGCCTTGCGATTAGCCAGACGTCGAGTGATTATTTGACCGTGAGCGGATCAGTGAAACGGAGAAATTGGTTAACCGGCGCGATAAAATGCCGTTGGGAGCGGGATTCGTCTCGTCAAGGTAATATCGTCCAGAGATGTTTTCTATGGTGTTACCTAATTCCCTGAGCACTTCCAGAGATACGATAAAAACTTCGGTGCAGTCAGGGCAAAGCTCGATGTCGCGAACTATTACAAGACTGGTACGGCAGCTATCACAATGATCCCGGGCGGAAGTGTACCCAAACTGGAACGCGTGAGCCAGTTCCAGACGATACGTAAGAGTCCCTTCTGGTATTTCTTCCTTGCATCGAAAGCAAAGATATTCGGCACTGTTAGGGAACGATTTGGCGATAGCGTAGTCTACGCGTCGATATCCAAATGTGGTAAGGCAACGCACCGTACTCATACGATATTTGTATACGGCGCCTGGGTGAGTGCGTGAGTCTCGTGGCTCGAGAAAACAAGGCGGGCACATTACGTCAAATAATGGGTGTTAACATTACGCGGCGAATATTCAACGTTAAATGGTATTTCGAAACTAGAATATTTCCATACACAACGATAAAGCAGCTCAAAACCCTACATGCCTTAGGAGAAAGTAGCAACGGAGACAAAAAAAAGGGGTCGATCGTAAAACCTTTCCGGTCGAGTGATGCAACTATGCGGCGGTCGCTCGACGCGAACAAAGCGAATGATGCAACCCGAAAGAATCCTGAGCGCGACGAGTACACTTATATTTGTTTACATCTAATTTCTTTATACTCTATATTTCGCTGGTGTAAACGTATACCCGGTGGGAAAACGCGAAAGCAACCGGGAATAAAACTTGATGCATGATTCTCACTTACCTTTCGGTGTTTGCGCAGATACTCTTCGAGGGAGATACGTGGTTGAAAACTGCTTCCTTGGTAAGCTGCTACGGGCACGGATGGGGCTGGTAAGGCGCTCCAGAGGCGATCATGCACGAGGAGTTCGTACTCGCCGTCGTAAGTCACTTCTTCGCCGATGATCACATTGTGGTCGTAAATCGCAGCCACGTGGAGGTCGTATTCGAGTCGCCGAAGTGCGTTGTTACGACCCGCGCGATTTTTCCGTGCCTTAGGCATTCGGCAGAGGCTCTAGGCGTATATTATATTTAATTAAAAGGTTAGGGTTAGGATATTACATTCGGCTGCGAGCCAATTACGCATTACGGTTCGGCGTCGCGTTGGAATGCATGAGCTACCGCGTTGCTCGAAGTCCGATGTTTCCTTTG